CCATTCCCTGCCCCGAGGAAAGCCGAGCACAGCGATTCCCTACCTTGTACTCGGAGACAGCCTCCTCCACGGGCACTATCCTGTGGTCCTCATGTTCCTTGGACTTGTTGCAGACCCCGCAGATGGGAGTCCCGTCGTTCCTGCAGAAGAGCTTCAGCGGCTCCTGGTGGCTCGCACAGAGTCGCTCCTTCCTTTCGCCCCCCTGAAGCTGGAGTTGCTGGGCTACCTCGACGATGCTCGCCAGCTGCAGGTTGGCGAAGACAGTCGCCCTCCGAACTTTTGCTTTGCACTGAGGGCACGAAGCCTCGGCGCCCGCGCTGCCCCAGAGCTGCGCCAGGCAGGCTCGGCAGAAGTTGTGCGAGCACTCGGCGATAGTCACCGGGTCCGAGAAATACTCCCGGCAGACGGAGCAAGTGGCCACCTTGCAGAGCTGCACAACGGGGTCCCACGCGGCAGCCATAGCAGCTTCGCCCCGCGGAGAAAGAGCGCGAGCGCTTTCGCTTTCGCTTCGCTTCCTTCTCCCAGCACGGGGGGCGCTTCCCTTCCGGAAAAGGAGCGACCCCGAAGCTCCGCCCTGCTGAATCAGTCGCTTGCAAACGTGGAGGCCGGGGCCTGGAGCTGTTCTGAACCTTTTAAAAGCTTTAAAAAAAAAAAAAGTAATGATGATGAGCGGGCGGGGGTGCGTGGGGGAGAAACGGGTCTCCAGTGTTTTTTCTCATCCCTCTGACTGACCAACAGAAGTGTACAAAAGAAAGGCTTAGGAAGGAACTCCTCTTTTCAACCTGTAATGATTATTAAAAGCAATTGGCGGCCACTCTCTATTTTTTTCCTTTCAGTACCCGCGGGAGTCGCTTTGTAGGAACAAAACTGTTGTCCATAAACGGTCCCGTACCGTAAGGATATTCCCGTACCTGACTCCTAGCCGAGCAGAGCGGAGGAAGCTGCCCCAGCCAAGCTCCCAGGGAGAGCAAACGGCGTTGGGCGGCAAGAGGCAAGGGAGAGGATCCGCCTGCTCTGCGGGCCCACGTACTCCTGTTGACCAAACGGTCCGTTTCCTCAGCTGTGTATGCCCAAAATACACAACATAGGAAGGTTTTCTTTTAAAGGATTCATTCCTGAGAATAAGGGGCTGCCAAGGAATTGTTCCAGATAGAGTCCCTGAGCAGTCCTCAGTTGGCCCTTTTATGCATTGATCATTAATTGCACGAAACACAGTTAACCCTTTCTAAGAGGTAGAACCAAAAAGTTGCAATGTTGTGATCTTTCCTGCCTGCATACCAAAGCAGAAAGAAGATGCTGGGAAGGAGGGGAAGGAGATGGGATGGGTTGGTGTGAATTGCCCTCTTTGAGCTGTTACCTGTGAAAGAGTCAACTGGCCCTTTCTGAAATGGTGGCCTGGTTAAGTTCAGCTGCGGTTCAAGGATAGCGCCACATGCTGATTTCGAGAAAATAGGTTTTTTTCTCAGGCCTGGTTAGGTGTCAATGATTGCATGATTTTAACCAGTGAAAGTTCTGCCTATTGATCTGTACATAACTCCTGAGAGCTGCATAATTGACAAGGGGGAGGCAGTCTTGTTCCAACAGCAAAATTGACAAAGGGGAGTCATTTTCTTGCTGCTTTTGTTCAACAAGTGGGAGACAGAGTCCGGCCAATCGACTGCAAATCACCCAGAGTTCTATGCTCTGACTGCCTCACTGGTAGAGTAATAGGAGGTTTATCCTTTAGGTACAACCTGCCCACCCCTCTGGAGAGGACAGCTGCAGGATCCTCCCAGCTGCAGGGTTGTAGGGCTCAATTTCCTTTACCAAGCAGAGAAGCTTCAGACTCAAATGCTAGAAGATTCAGCGGAAAATCTTCCTGCTCCTGTTGCAAAACCAAAACAGGCCTGGGAAAGATCACCGTGTCTAAGTTTTGCCACCAAGTACTCCTTGCTGGCTTTGGGCTGCAGTGCCCCAAGAAAAGAGGTTGTATCGGATTGGTCATGCAGGGTTAGGCCTTTCGTGTCCTCTTGTCCAGCTCAAGAGTAGTAAGGGTGTTGCTGTTTGGGGGACGTGTCGAAGTAGAAGGTGGCTAGGAAAGGAGGATGGCTGTGGAGACACTTCCAGTCCCAGTCTTCTTCGAATTTCTTGGCTCCAGAAATTGGCTCCCTTTGAACTGATGCCTAAAGCAACACCTGTAAAATCTTTAACTTTTTCAATTTCTTCATTGTTGACATTAGAAATATGTAATGTCACAACTCTAGCCATGGTTTTAGTTTCTTGATGTCTAACCACAGTCGTGCTTTTGCACACATACTCAAAACAGACTTTTGAGAAAATTTGAACAAGCTATTTCCATTTCAATTATTATTTTGAAATAATAAACCCTGAGAAGAGAGAGAGAGAATGCATATGAATGTTGCCATGTAGATTCCAAGCCATTCAGTTCTCTCCAGAGTATGAAATTTCAACTTTAGGCAGAAAGACAATGGAAGAACTCGGCTCCCTCAGAAATTATTCACACCTCTGTGAGCAGAGGAAGGAGGTCAAACAAAATGCTGTAACAAGGCAATGATGAATGGGACACAAATAAAATATGATTTTGAGCCTGGAAAGTGCTCAAAAACAAAGGATGACCTTTCTTGTATATTTAGTTGGTTAATCCACTTATATACCACTTGATATCATAAGGTATCAGGAGATCTGAGATTTTAAAAATGTGTCCATTTCATTTCTATACCCCCTGTCACTGAAGCTCTCTGGGCTGTTTGCACACGGAGAGTTACAGTCCCCCATTCAGCCAAGAAACTCTCTGGGTAAATTTGGGCCAATCACAAATTCTCAGCCTAACCTACCTGACAGGGTTGTTGTTGCAAGGATAAAAATGGAGAAGAGGAGAACCTTGGAAGCTGCCTTGGGCTCTTTGCAAGAACAAGAAAGGCAGGATATGAATGCTATGCAATAACGATCGCAATAATAACTACCACGTACTACTGCTGGGCTGGGGACTCCTCTCTGGAAAATCAGAGCGAGAAAGAGGCGCAGCGACAAGGCGCTGTGGGGCGCTGCCCCAACCATGCCATTGCGGGGGCTGCCCGACTGCTTTGTTCAGGTGTTTATGGAGGGGAGCCCAGCTCCTTTCTGCAGCAGACCCCCCCCTTGCCCGAGCGTGGATTGGGCACCCCCCCCCCGCCCGAGCAGTCCTCCTTGGAGCATGCCGGGAGGGTGCCCAGATCCTGACCGCAGGTTCCCTGCTGCCCTTCAGGGCATGAGCGCGCTTGGTGCAGCAGCGACTGCGCGGCGGGTGGAGCAAGCAGAACTTGGCTCGTGATCGCGGCTGTCCAAGCCAGAAGCCTCCTTCCTCCTGGTGGTGCCATCCCAGATGCTGCCCGAGAGGGAAGAGGACGGAGGAGAGAAGCAAGCGGCAGACAGGAGCAGAGTTATCACGACGCGCCTGATCTTTCAGGCACCTCCGGGGGGGGGGGGGGGGAATAAAACCTGCGGGATGAAAACCGCGCAGGATTGCTTGCCCCGGCGTGTGAGCCTGGCTGCGGTGCATTTCTACAAGCGCAGATAAATTACATCCTGCTACAGTTTCGATAGCCGGAGCCGGCAGCCTATGCTAATCAGTGATTTCATTGGCTAACCGTTAAATCGCAGCTGCTTCCTGATTCTCCCCTATCGGTGCTTCACATTTCTGCCGCTGACCTTTGGCTGCTTTCTTTCTGCTGCGTAATTATTTCTGTTCCGCAAAGTGGCTTCTGCAAATCTCTCGGGATGGACGCGAACTCCAGGAAACCTTTGGGGAATCCCTGACCCAGGTGGAACCAGGAAGCAGCCATGCTCGGCTTGGTTCGTCACCCAACTGAAAGTTTCAGGAAAGTGACTGTGCAATGCTTAAAGCGAAAGTTGGGTATAGTCAAACACGTCCCTTGGACTTCAGGAAGGCTGATTACAGTAAGTGCAGAGCAATTACAAGAAGGATCCGGTTTAACGAAAGGGAACATCCACTTCCTGAAAACACAAACTCCCAAAGCACTTCTCTCTTCTGTGTGTGGAAGCCATGGCTGCTGCCAGCACTCCTGTCCAAGAGCTCCGTGAAGAGCTCACTTGCCCCATCTGCCTGGATTATTTCAGGGATCCAGTGACGGTCGCAGAGTGTGGGCACAATTTCTGCCGAGCCTGCCTGAGCCAGTGCAGTGGGGAATTTGACACAGAGGCCACCTGCCCCCAGTGCAGGGGGACCTTCCAGAAGAGCAGCCTCCGGCCCAATCTGCAGCTGGCTAATGTAGTCGAAATTGCCAAGAAGTTAGGAGGGCAGACCGTCCAAGGGGCCGAAGGGAAGGGGCAAGCCTGCGAGAAGCACCAGGAGCCCCTGAAACTCTTCTGCAGGGACCACGAAACCCCCATCTGCCTGGTGTGTGACAAAGCGAAGGAGCACGAAGGTCACAAGGTGATTCCCCTGGAGGAGGCGTCCCAGGAGTACCAGGTAGGAGATCGGTGTACCTCTTGCTGGGGGTTGTGAGCGGGGGGGGGGGGGCATACTTGTGGGTTCGTCTTAATAAATTCTCTGCAAAGGCGGTCCAATAAGAAATCACTGGGGCCACGTGATCAATGCATTTATCGTGTTTCTATACTGCACATTCACCAAAGGTGGCTGGCAGGTTTGCTGCAGGAACATGTTTGTTTGCCATTCTGTAAATGGGAGCCCCAGGAAGCCTGAGAATGAGGTGGGGCTTCTCTGCTTCACTCTGCGAAATATATTTTGTGTATGTCTTTGCAAAGGCAAGCAAAGGGATCAAGGGGCTGGAGGCTGGATCCTGTGAGACCCTCTCTTCCTGCCCTCCGACCTGATTAAAAGTTTCTCTCTTACCCTTTGCAGCTTTAGAAGGCTCCACCAGCAACTGTGTTTGTTTCTGTGTGTCATAATCTTTATTTATAGAACCAAAGGACATTGCAATGCAACAAAATACAGCCTTATATTGCCAAGATAAAAAAGATTCAAACGTTTTAAAAAATACTACCACTAAATACAGCACTGGATTGCCTTCAGCCAGACCACCAAGTGCATCTTGTAACTTCTTCGTAGATTGTTGTTCCGGTTCAGTCACAAAGTCAAGCCTGGCTCTTTGCAACCTCACGGACCTCAGCATGCTCTCCCATCCTCCACCGTTTCCCAGAGTTCACCCAACCCCATGCCCACTGCCCCAGAGACTCTATCCAGCCACCTCATCCTCTGCCATTCCCTTCTCCTTTTGCCTTCAATCTTTCCCAACATCAGGATCTTTTCCAATAAGTTCTTCCTTCTCATTAGGTGGCCAAAGTATTTGAGTTTCATCTTCAGCATCCGGCCTTCTAAAGAGCAGTCAGGGTTGATCTCCTCTAGGACTGACTGGTTTGATCACCTTGCGGTCCAAGGGACTCGCAGGAGTCTCCTCCAGCACCACAGTTCAAAGGCCTCAATCCTTTTGCGCTCAGCCTTCCTTGTGGTCCAGCTTTCACAGCCATACATTGCAACTGGGAAAACCATAGCCTTGACTATACGCAGTATTGTTGGCAGGGTGATGTCTCTGCTTTTTAGTATGCTGTCTAGATTTGCCATAGCTTTCCTCCCCAGGAGCAAGCATCTTTTAATTTCTTGGCTGCAGTCCCCATCTGTGGTGATCTTGGAGCCCAGGAAAATAAAATCTGTCACTACCTCCTTTTCTTCCCCATCTATTTGCCAGGAAGTGAGAGGACCAGATGCCATGATCTTAGTTTTCTTAATGTTGAGTTTCAAGCCAACTTTTGTGCTCTCCTCCTTCACCCGCATCAAGAGGCTCTTTAGTTCCTCTTTTTTTTTTTTTCCTTCGATTTATATCCTGCCTTTTTCCTACAAAGGACTCAAGGTAGCTTACTTCATTCTCCTCCTCCATCTTATCCCCACAACAACAACCCTGTGAGGTAGGTTGGGCTCTTTCTGCCATTAGAGTGGTATCATCTGCATATCTGAGGTTGTTGATATTTCTCCTGGGAATCTTAATTCTGGCTTCTGATTCCTCCAGCCTGGAATCTCACATGATATACTCTGCATATAAGTTAAATAAACAGGATGACAATATACAGCCTTGTCATACTCCTTTCCCAATTTTGAACCCATCAGTTGTTCCATGTCCGGTTCTAACTGTTGCTTCTTAACCCACATACAGGTTTCTCAGGGGCCAGGTAAAGTGGTCTGGAACTCCCATCTCTTTAAGAACTTGCCACAATTTGTTGTGATTCACACAGTCAAAGGCTTTAGCATAGACAATGAAGCAGAAGTTTTGGGCAAGAAGCTTGCCCAACATTGGAGGAGTGAAGAACCACCTACCGACGAACTGATTTTAAAAAAGATCTTGGACTGTGTCAAAATGGACAGATCGACTTTGTCTCTGAAGGAGAAAGAGGATACATACTTCTATCAAACTTGGAATTCTTTTTCTTATTGGCTAGAGAAATGGGACTATGCATAGACTTAAATATGTTTATGAAATACCATAAAAAAAGTACGGGGAGCTGACCCAGTAGGTCTGATGTTTCTGATTATTGGTTTTTTTTAGTTTCTTTTTTTGTTAGTTAATAGAAAAAATAATAATAAAACTTACTTTGAAGCAGAAGTAACTCCTCCTTTCTCCATAATCTAGCAAATGTTGGCAATTTGATCTCTAGTTCCTCTTCGAAACCCAACTTGTACTTCTGGTAGTTCTCAGTCCACATACTGCTGGAGCCTTGTAGGATTTTGAGCATAACCTTGCTAGAATGTGAAATAAGCACAATTGTATGGTAGTTTGAACATTCTTTGGGATTGGAATGCAAAATGACCTTTTCCATTCCTGTGGCCACTGCTGAGTTTTCCAAATTTGCTGGCATATTGAGTGTAGCACTTTTACTGCATTGTCTTTTAGGATGTTGAATAGCTCAGCTGGAATACTGTCACCTCCACTAGCTTTGTTGCTGCTCAGACTTCCTAAGGCCCATTTTACTTCACATTCCAGGATGTCTGGCTCGAGGTCAGTGACCACCCCATCGTGGTTATCAGGGACGTTAAGCTCTTTCTAGTATAGTTCTTCTGTGTAATTTTGCCCCCTCTTCTTAATCTCTTCGGCCTCTCTTAGGTCCCTGCCATTTTGGTCCTTTATCATGCCCATCTTTGCATGGAACATTCCCTTGATATTGCCAGTTTTCTTGAAGAGGTCTCTAGTCTTCCACATTCTATTTTTTCCTCCTATTACTTTGCAGTGTTCATTTAAGAAGGCCTTCTTATCTCTCCTAGCTATTCTCTGGAAATCTGCATTCAGTTGGGTGTATCTTTCTCTTTCTCCCTTGCCTTTCTCTCCCCTTCTTTCCACAGCTATTTGTAAAGCCTCCTCAGACGGCCACTTTTCTTTTTTGCATTTCTTTTTCTTTGGAATAGTCTTAGTAGCTGTTTCCTGTACAATGTTACGAGTGTCTATCCATAATTCTTCAGTCACTTTGACTACCATCTCTAATCCCTTAAATCCATTGGTCCCCTCCACTGTATATTCATCAGGGATATGATTTAGGTCATACCTGAGTGGCCTAGTGGTTTTCTCTACTTTCTTCAATTTAAGCCTGAATTTTGCTGTAAGAAGCTCATGGTGTGAGCCACAGTCAGCTCTGGCTTTTGTTTTTACTGCAAGGCATATAATCAGTCTGAATTTGGTATTGATCATCTGGTGAAGTCCATGTGTAGAGTCGTCTCTTGGGTTGTTGGAAAAGAGTGTTTGCTATGACCAGCGTGTTCTCTTGACAAAATTCTACCAGCCTTTGCCTTGCTTCATTTTGTACTCCAAGGCCAAACATGCCTGTTATTCCGGTTATCATTTGGCTTCCTACTTTAGCATTCCAATCCCCCATGATGATAAGGACATCATTTTTGGGTGTTAATTCTAGAAGGTGTTGTAGGTCTTCATAGAACCGGTCAACTTCAGCCTCTTCAGCACCAGTGGCTGGGGCATAGACTTGGACTGCTGTGATGTCGAATGGTTTGCCTTGGATTTGAACTGAGATCATTCTGTCATTTTGGAGATTGTATCCCAGTACTGCTTTTCCTACTCTTTTATTGACTATGAAGGCTACTCCATTTCTTCTGAGGGATCCTTGCCTGTATACCTGATGGTCATCTGAATTAAATTCTCCCATTCCTGTCCATTTTAGTTCACTGATTCCTAAGATATCAATATTCAGTCTTGTCATCTCTTGTTTGACCACGTCCAGCTTGCCTTGATTCATGGATCTTACATTTCAGGTTCCTATGGAGTACAGATCTTTGCAGCATCGGACTTTCCTTTCACCACCAGATACATCGGCAACTGAGTGTCCTTTCGGCTTTGACCCAGTTGCTTCATTCTTTGTGGTGCTACTAGTATTAGCCCTCTGCTCTTCCCCAGTAGCATATTGGACACCTTCCAACCTGAGGGGCTCATCTTCCAGCATCATATCTCTTAGCCTTTTGACACTATCCATGGGGTTTTCCTGGTAAGGATACTGGATTTCCTTCTCCAGGGGATCACCTTTTTTCAGAGTTCTCCACTTTGACCTGTCTGTCTTGGGTGGCCCCGCACAGCATAGCTCATAGCTTCATCCTGCTACACAAGCCCCTTCACCATGGCAAGGCAGTGACCCATGAAAGGGTGTTTGTAGATCTTTGTTTTGCTTTGTAAGCCGCCCCGAGGCTTTTTGCAAATGGGGCGGCATAGAAATGTTTTAAATAAATAATAAATAGATTACACTGGAATAAAGAGAACACTTGATAAACTCCTTTCCTCCCCATCCTGCCATACAATAATGGAAAGCAATAACAAACAACTTGCTCAATTCCTCTTTCTCTCTCTGTAACGCCCAAGTGAACTGCTCCTCTCTTGTCAGGATCTGCTCCATCATCGCCTGGAGAGTCTGAGAAAAGAAAGAGAAAAGGTTCTTGCATACGAAGCAGACACGGAGAGGGAAAACCAAGAGCTGCTTGTAAGTATCAAGGTTAAAGACTTGGTATTTTTGACCAGATGGTGCTCTGAGTGTGGGGGACGTTGACTCAGCCCTTTGGCACAGTAAGATCCCCGCTTGCTGGGATTTAGGCCAACGGTGTCTTTTCCCCTCCGCAATGGTGCGGGGCCCATTAAGGTGGTCCACCCACGGAGGCTAATGAATCCAGAAGGATTTTCCAGCTGGTATGGTTGATGCTCCTATCAAAGTCCTTCTCTGTGTTGTGGAGCGCAGAAACGACCCGGAGAGCTGGCATGATCATTCCTAAGCGCTCTCTCTGTTGTAGAGCTTGTATGGCTCTGAGAGTGATGAAACCAGGTAGGAGACAGCCTAAACGTAGACGGAGGAAAACATCCGGCGGATGAGTGTCTTTGGAGGCTGTGAAGGTGGCATCGAAACAATATCTCATTGCTTCTGCTCGTTCTTCCCTGTGCTACCCAGCGGAGCTTTTCAAGGTTGTCTGGTGCTTACGGCATTCTGGCCCCAGGGACATCTTGGAACCATCTCAGTCCCACTGTAATTTACTGAGTCAATTACAGTGGGACTGTCAGCAAAAAAAGAAAAAGAAGAAAAGGTTTTTTCAGTAAGGGGAGGGCTTAATCTGTGGTGCCCCCCCTCATCTATGGTACAACCCGCCCCCCCCCACACACACACACGCTGTGGCCTGCCTGGCACCAAACTTGTCATCCTTTTTGCACCAGGTTAAGACTGACCTTTATGCGGAGGATTTAATGACATGCTTGGACACCCAGGGGCTCAAGGGGATTACAAATCCCAGGTGTTTTTATAGAGTCATTCTTGCTGTTTGTTTTTAGCTCATCATCACTACTGATTACATTTTTATACCAGCCGGAGCATTCTGGGCAGTGCATAACAGGATATAAACATAATAAAATATAATACATAAAACAGCATTTAAAAATAATTAAAATAGCATTAAAATACAATAACAAGACCTAACCAAGAAGAAGGAAAAAAGGCACCTAGATAAACCCCTCGGGCTCCTGGATGACCTGGGAGATCTCTGAAGGCTTCCATAAAGAGGACTGTCTTAACTTGGCACCAAAAAGATGGCAAATTCAGTGCCAGGCAGACTGCAGCAGGAAGGTTGTTCCGGAGATGGGGGCCGCCACAGAAAAGGCCACCCTCCAAGCCAGCCAAGAGGTTAGTACCTGGGGGAAGACCCAGAGCCTGAGTGTAGGTCTGGGTCAGTCATTGTTGGGTGAGGTACTCCAATAGGTATTGTAGTTTAAAAGAAACCTTTTGGTGTTTCTCTGTTTTTATGATATTTTTATGATATTTTATTATCTGGTTTTAAAGATTGTTGTAAATTGCCCAGACAGCTTGGACTATGGGGTGACATACAAAGGAAATAAATAAATATAGGAGAGGAACAGGTTCTTTAAATGCTATTGGCCAACATTTGATGTACAATGCATCAAATGGAATGAATGAATGAATGAATGAATGAATGAGAGGCGCCCAGGTAGCCCTGCTCTTCAGGTGATGCATTATTCATTGGAACTGCCTAGCCTACCATGACAGTTCTTAATACAAGGCCATTCTGAGGATGGGTCCTTGTGCGGTTTCATGAAGCGTAGCTGACTCTGGCCGCCCTTTATCTCTCTTACATACACTCCTTGCAGAAGGAAACAAAAGCTGTGAGGGAAGAAACAGTGGCTGAGTTCAGGCGCCTGCATCAGTTTCTGGAAGAGCAAGAGAAGCGTCTCCTGGCCCAGGTGGACCAGCTGCAGGAGGAGATTGCCAGGAAAGCGGAGGACCACCTGGCCTGGCTTTCGAAGGAACTCTCTTCCCTTGAAGGCATCATGTGGGAGGTGGAGAAGAAGAGTTGGCAGCCGGCCGCTGAACTCCTGCAGGTAGGAGGGGGCAGGAGCCCCCACATCCCCCAAGAAGGAGACTCAACAAGACACTGCCTGCCTCTGCATGGTGCCAAGAATGGTGCCAAGCTTGTGCTGGTACCTTTAAGAAAATTCTTGCCAAAGCAAACAGGGGAAAACTGACAGCAGCGGTGTTGGAAATCAGGAGGGCTGGTCAGGTCTGACATTCTTGCACCAATCAGAGTTGCAAAAATATAGCAGTATTAGGACAGGCAAACTTTAATGTAATCATTTATGCATGTTTCAGCCTACAGTTAATATCGCCAAAGCATAACTAAACTACTATCCAGTTTAAAAGTAGGAGATTCTCAAAGTTGCTGCTGTGGCCAAATGCCCCAGTATTCTGCTTTTTGGATATAAAAAGGAAGGCATCATTCCTGCTTGGCAAAGCAAAGGAGATGTTTGTGGTTAAGAAATTCAGGCCTTACCCATCAGAACGGCATGTGTGAATATGCATCTGGCATGATCCTGGTTTCCCCAGACTTCATCTGGGGAAAGTTGGATGTTGCAGACAAGTGTGTTCGGCTCCTCTTGGAAGCAGGGTGTTGGACAAGAAGGGCCTCATCTTCCATACCATGTTGGAGCCCAAAGCATTGCTCCTGCTAGCAGCTCCTTTCCCTTCAAAGAGGGTTACTATCAAGGAGAGCGTCAAACTGACTATGCAGAGAAATGCAGTGCAAGGAAAGGAAGATGTAACCCTCTGTTCCTGTCAGCACATCCAGAGACGCCCAGAGAGGCTTCCGTTAATATACACACCAGCTCTTTGCTCTCCTGGAAAGTCAGAGATGGAACTAAAGGCTTCTATAATCCACCTTGTGGGAGGTTCTGTCCATTTTCCTCATTCCTCTAGTGGAGGTGAGGAGCAGGACTGGGCGAGGATGCATCCCCAGAGTGTGCAGAGCGACACCCGCTGAGCGCCTCCTCTTTCTCTCTTTCCCCTCCAGGATGTGAGAAGCACCTTGCAGAGGTGAGTGCGTCCCCCTCGTTTCCACTGGTGCAGGGAAGGGTCTGGGCGGCACTGGGAGGACCGGCTGCTCCCGGCTCCTGAGCAGAGAACGTGCATCACCAGCATCTCTCAAGATAAAATGAAGGACTGGTTGTTGAAGTTGGACCACTCCTGCTCTCCCTCCGTTCCATCACACATGGCTGATATACAAACCCCACAGGCCAAATATCACCCCCAAAGAGGGAAAATGTCCACACCCCACAAAACACAGGCAGAGCTAGTCTTTACTTTAGCCAAACAGAAGCTAAAGGTCCAATTACTCCACCTGAAGCGCCGCCCACTTGTATGGCTGCTGCAATTGCTCTGGGGGCCAGTGTGGACTCACCCCCCCCACTCCAAAAAGGATGCCTTCTCCTTGTCCTTTAGTCCTCCTTTGCTCCCAGGGGGAATGCCGGGTTGAATGAGTGGAGGTTACCTCTGTTTTCTCTGGCAGGAGTGAGAAGGAGCCCTGTGAGATCCCAGCGGCTTTCTCCCCGGAGCTGAAATGGAGAATCTGGGACTTATGGGATATAAATCACCTTCTGGAGGGACTCAGAATGAAATTTCAAGGTACTGGAACATGTTTGAGAGGATGATATTCTGGTCTTTTTTTGGCTACTAACAGTGGTAGCCTCAGTAAAGTGTCTCTTTTGGTGGTGTGGCTACGGTTTCCTTTTCCTCTTTTGCATTTATTTTCCATCCATCCAGTCTGGAGAGGGATTTTTGGAGGTTCTCAATTCTGCTTTTGTGTTCAGTATTGTGTCCAGTTCTCGGCACCACATTTCTTGAAAGATGTAGACAAGCTGGAAAAAGTTCAGGAGAGGGCAGCAAAAAATGATCAGGGGACTGGAAACAAAGCCCCATGAGGAGAGATTGAAAGAATTGGGCGTGTTTAGCCTTCAGATGAGAAATGAGGGGAGATATGATTGCTCAAATATTTTGAAGACTGTCATACAGAGGAGGGCCAGGATCTCTTTTCAATCATCCTGGAGTGCAGGACAGGACACAAAATAATGGGCTTAAGTTACAGAAATTCAGATTCTGGTTGGACATCTGGAAAGATTCCTGACTGTTAGAGCAGTGGGGCAATGGAACCAATGACCTAGGGAAGTTTTGGGCTCTCCCACGCTGGAGGCATCCAAAAGGAAGTTGGTTAGCCCTCTGTCAGGGGTGCTTTAACCTGGAGTCCTGCACTGTGCAGGGAGTTGGACTCAATGGTTCTATAGGCCCCCGCCAACTCTTCTGTTCTATGATTCTGTAGGAATTGGATGGTTTTTGTTGTTTCTCAAACCTATGCGAATAGCTCTTGATGACCTTATCTATTTCTGTCTGCTGTATGACCGTGTCTGTTTTCTATGAGTAAAAACATGAGTTCTTTGTCGGTTTGCTGGCTGCTATTGATGGGTAATTCCCAGGTGCCTCAGGACAATGGTCAGCATCCATCCAGGGTTGCTTCACCTAAGCTGTCTGAGGAGAAATGTCTCATGCCTGGCCTTTCCTTTGCAAGAACTCCAGCATCTATTACCTGCCATTCATTCTTATTCCATCCACCCTGGCCAGCTCGGGATAGCCAGTCCTTGCACCTGAACTCAAGCTAATGTGATCTTTCCTTGCCTGGGAGCCTGTCTCTGTGGCACCAATATTAATACGAGCTTTACATACATGCTGCTCAGTCCTGTTCGGAGCAGCTCTGCTTATATCTGTACCCACATGGGGCAGGCTTCCCATGTTGCTGTTAGGCCGAGCGCGTAACCTGAGAAAGAGGTGAGCCCTGATGTTCTTCACTCTCTCACACTGCCCTGACATGGAAGCTTGGCACCTGAATGATTTGTCCTTGCACCCGTTTCCCACAGTTTCCGGAGAGGCCTCTGCTTGGCATCCTTTTTGTGATGAGCATTCCCACCTTAGGCAGCCGTCTCCTCTAAGTCACTCGAATTCTGACCATCCCTACCTGGGTTGTGACCTGGAGTCCAGCAGCCGATTTCCTGCCTCATTTCCTCTCACTGTAGCCCACCAGCCACAGTGATCACATCTGCGTGAGATGAAGCAGGGAGGGCTGCTGAAGCCGGATAAGTGACCCAGTGCAAAACGGCGGAGGTGCACTGCAGTGGTACCTTGGCTCATGAACTTAATCCGTTCCAGGACTCTGGTCAGGACCCAAATTGGTCATGAGCCAAGTTAAATTTCCCTATAAGATTCAATGTAAATAAGCTTAATCCGTTCTGTAACTAATTTTTTAATCAGAAAAACGTGAAGCGAAGTGACAACAACATAGATTGCGACCATCTGCCCCCCCCCCGAGCATGAGTGCGGCCATCTCCCCACCCCCCCAGCATGACTGTGATCGTGCCCCTCATCCATGCACGCGCCTGTCATCCCAGTGTGCTGGGGAGGGAGAGACGGGCACGATCGTGGGTGCACTTCGGGGGGGGGCGAGATGGGCATGAATGCATGCGTGCTTGGGGGGGAGATGGCCGAGATCGCAGTTGCGCTCCTGCAGGAAAGATGGGTGTAATCACGGACGCGCTCATGCAGGAAAGATGGGCGCGATCTCGGCCATCTCCGCCCCCCCCCCGCCCCCAGCACGACCGCGGCCATCTCCCCACTTGCAGGGGGTGGGGAGATGGCCGCGATCGCAGTTGCCACCTAATGCGGATTTTGCAACCTGAGTCAAAATTTTTATGAAATTTTTATTCGCGACCCAATTTGGCCACGAACTGAGGCTCTTGTGAGCCAAGCTACCACTGTACTTGGGCAAGGCAAACTGGGAACTTCCACAGACCTCTGGATTGGAAGCTCCGAACATCCCCTGCAGCGCCAGGCATGGTGGACTCTTCTCCGCCTTATCACAGCAGCTGCTGATCTGGGGCTTCAGTGCACTCCCATGCAGTGTGAGGAGATGGTGCACATGCTGGAGAAGACAGCCAAAGAGGTCGAGACTCGCAATAAGCCGGATGTGGTCAAGCCACGCACCATGTCCTGCCATGGCAGTTTTGCCTCCATCTTGACTTACCGGAGGCAATTTCCTGTGATAGGCAGTGGTAAGCCGGCTCCATTCACTCTGGGATGAAACTGATTCCCTGCATCTATTTCAGTCGGGGTTCAGGATACCTTTTGGCCGCCTGGTATGGAGACTTCTGTTGGGAGAGATACAGTGCGGTGTGATACTGCTGGAACTCTCAGTGATGCCATCCAGCAGGGTCTCCCCGTAGGGTGATTTCTCAACTGAGTTTGGAGGGTATTGATTGCATTGGTTCTGCCCCTACTTCAGTGGCCAGCCAGCTCCAGAAGGTGGAGCTTGGGGAGTATTGCTCAGCTCCATGAATTCTCCAGGATGGGATTCTCCTGGGATTGCTCTTCCAGGCTATTTAACATCCCTAAGAATTTGCTCAGTGTGTTCATTTGGAGAGCTGGAGTGTGCTCTCCAAACGCTGGTGATCCACAGCTGCATTTTTCCTTTTTATCTTTACCAGATGAGGCTGTCGATGTGTTGAGTCAGTGTCTGGCTGGGATGATGGGCTGGATGAGGACCACTGAAGCTCACTCCAGACAAGACTGAGATGCTTTTAGTGGGAGGCTCTGCTGCTGCTCTTTCAGCCAGTTCTCAAAGGTGTTCCACCTGTCCTGAAGGAGCAGCTTGGTAGCCTTGTGGGTCCTCCAGGACCCAGGTGGCCTCAGTGGCCTAGAATGCTGCCTGCCAGCTTTGGCTGGTGGCCCAGCAGTGCCGCTCTCTGGACAGAGATAATCTCCAAACTAAATGGCTGCATTGCTCTCTGCATGGGTCTGCCCTTGAAGACTGTTCAGTAGGGGCAGTTTCTGCAAAATACAGCAGCCAGACTACTAACTGGTACCAGAAGGTACAAACATATAAGATAAATTATGACCCATGTTTTACTGGCTGCCAATACACTTCTGTGCCACACACCTTGGCATCGTAGCGTCTGACAGTGCCTCTCCTGACCTGAATCTACTCATACACTAGGACCTGAGGCATTCTTCTGACTGCCATCTCCAACGGAGGCTCAGGGGGAGGTGAGAAGAAAGGGGGGCTTCTCAGTGGTGGCCCCCAGTAATGGAATGAGCTCACCATTGAGGTCCTCTGTGCATCGACATTGCCGTTCTTTCTACATCAGCGTCAGACTGCTCTGTATTCCCAGATATTTAATGGCGTTTGGTGGGACATTTCAGTTGTTCTAACAAACCTATTTTGTACTGTAATTGTTTTTGCTGTGTAAGTTCTTTCCAATTTTGTGTATTCCTTTTTATTATATTATTGCATTGGTAACTTGCCTGTTCTACTAATGTACCCGTGTTATATGAATTGTAAAACAACCAGAAAGATTTAACTATTGATTGGCATAGAAATTAACAAAAGGAAGGAAGGACAGACGGACGGACAGAAAAGCAGCCAAACCAAGGTTCTCACAACTGCCGCAATCTTGAGTATGGCCATTCATCCATAGCACAGAGATCATATCTGGCAGACGGATATGAAAAAGAGATAAATGCATCATTAACCCACACAACCTGAACCAAAGTAAAAAATCAATTATCCATCCAGATCCACCACAAGACATTTTCTGACTAATTGTAAAGTTCAGATTTCAACATAACTTCAGCATATGAAAGTGGATAAAACTTCTATTGATGTGACAATGGAACCCAATCCATTTTAATATGCCAAGAACCAAATGGCATCCATTTAGAAAAAGGATCCAATCAAGAACTGACCAGGGTAGAAAATTTAATCCAAGCGGGAAGGACCAAAATTTTGTTCTAGTCAACAGATGTATAAGCTAGTATTTTTGTTAGCAAGGTTTTGCATTAGTTTGATGGTGAGCAGCCTAATCTTATATTTTTCCTCCCCAGATGCCCTGCTACATGGACTACAGCTGCATAAAGGTAAGTCTTCAGGAAGGACCAAGTTCTGAGAGGGCTGCATTTCACTGCATTTCTGTCCTCTCCACTTCAAAACCCTAAATCCATTAACTCTCTGACTCGGGTATTGGTAGTTTGCAGTATTCAATATACAAGAAGCACAGCTTAGATGCTCCAGTCAGTAGGCACAAATTCCCAGAGAGAGTCTGGGAATAACCCAGGGTTATAACCCAAGTCTAACCCAGGGTTGCTGGCATTTTGCAAATTGTGATTCAGTATTTTCCACCACATAAGCTGTAGATGGTAGGTATGCCATTGTAAAATAGTGCAAATATACAGGGAGACACTACCATTTTTCCCTATTCTCAATAAAGTCACAACTTGCTCATTCTAAAACAAACAAAACAAAAAACTGGGGAAGTGTTCTAAAAAAAAAACACAAACAAACCAGAAGTGAAACTGGGTGCACAACTTTTTCTCAACCCATTTGTTTGTTTTTTTAAATGCAACCTCACTTTATTTGGATTCAAAAGTTGCTTTTGAGCTTTAGTGATAAAATGCACCTCTCCACCATGTTCTTGGCTTCCTAGTCAAGTTTCTTGTCTTTTAGTTCATTTCTTTTGGGAAATGAACTTTTGTCCTGAGGCTGTAACTCGCGTCTCCAATTAACTCACACAGCAGCTGGCCATAAAACTAAAGACTTTTATTGCTACTTTCTACAAGATTTAGGATGCAACAGATAAGCTCTAGCAGTGAGCTCCTTGTAACACAGTTGCCCCCTCCTTTCTGAACTATCTGAGAAGTTCACAGGGATTTGATCTTCTGTCACATCTTTCCGTTCGTGGGTGGGACAAACCTCTGTCCTGTGGTTGCAATTGGTCCAAACGCAATTGATCTAAATGCCTTAAACTCCGCCTAAGTTGGGCGTTTGCTAGATTTACTGTTATGTCTTCCTGTTCTCCTGAACTCTGCCCAGCAGCTTCAGAGTCAGGAGGGGGGCGGGGGCAACTTGTTCAAGCTCCTTGGAGTCAGGCTGTGGGGAGGCTATTTGCTCAGAAGCCTCATAGTCAGGCTGCAGAGGGGCCCTTTGGGCACTGGGCCCCAAGTATAAGTCCCCTTGTTCCAATGCCTGACTCTCACTGTGAATGTTTGACTCTTTCTCACGAGTCGACGTCTCTGTCGAGCCATCGGGCACGAGAACTTTTCACAGAATCCTAGGAAGGTTGGAAGGGGCCATGAAGGCCATGGAGTCCAGCCCCCTGCTGTTGCAGAACACCACATTACACCATCCCACTCAGGTGGCTGCCCAGACTCTTTTTGAATATCTCCAGTGTGGGAGCACCCACCACCTCTCTAGGCAGCTGGTTCCACTGTTGTATTGCTCCACGTCTTGAAACAATCAGTGGGATAATACTTGTTGCTGATATCTATTACCTAAAACGAAGACAAACTCATCTGCTCACCAGAGAAGGGACCACCTCACTCCTCCTTGGAAGTCCCAGCTGGCCAATTCATGAGGGAGCCCTGAGGAGGTGACTTCTCCCCTCGTGCGCATTTTATCCTCCTTTTCTCAGAGAGATGAGATGTAGGTTTACAGAGCAGGCCTGCTGGGGATGCCAGAGAGAAGGTGTCCTGAGGCAATTCCCTCAGTTTCTCCTGAGGGGAATTCAGTTTTTCAGAAAAAAAAACTAGAAGAAATGTGGGAAAACCCTGGAGGGTTGTGAGCAGAAGACAATGCCCTCACCCCCACCCCCTGTCACCTGCCCAGCTTCCTGGAATGAGGCAGGCAGTGGTGCCCTGAAAGTCTGTTCTGGACCCGAAGCACATGGTTTGGGTGGTGTTTTGCTTTGAGATCTTGTAAGTTTTGTTGAGTGACAGAAGGGGAAGGTCTAGACAATTTGAGTAGATCAGTAACTTGCAGTGAACATGATGTGGGAGGGGCCAACTGGGGTGTGTGGGAGACAGGAGGGAGTGGGGGGATTTTTGTCTTTCATGTTGGAGAAGGGGGGAAGTGAGGAAGCTTTGGGAAAATGGGTTTTGGGGACTGTATTGTTATTTTGCTTTGAGCATGCGAGTTCGTAGCTTGCTGTTTATTACAGAGTTGTTTTTGTTTTACTCGATTTTAGAGGAAAACTGATTCCTGTGGGGTCTTAATGTGTAAGACTCGTATCTTTCTCCAAGAAGCTTTTGCTGATTTTCTCCTTCCCTTCTTTCCCTCCATCTCTAACAGCAAATGTGACTCTGGATCCAGACACGGTTAATCCCAACCTCATCCTGTCGGAGGATCGTAAAAGTGTGAGGAGGGGAGACCAGAGTCATGATCTGACCACCAAATTGGACAGATCCATGGACTTTCCTTTTGTGCTGGGACGTGAGGGATTCAGAGGGGGCAGGCACTTCTGGGAAGTCAGTGTGGAATGTGGGGAAGAATGGATTGTGGGGGTCATCCCGAGTTCCATAAGGAGAAAGGGCAAGGTTAAGTTACCCCCTCAGGAAGAGATCTGGGCTATGGGGTGTTTCAAAGGTGGATACAGCACTTTCTCTCATTCTCTGTCCCTGAGCAGGAAGCTGAAGAAGATCCGGGTGTCTCTGAACTGTGATGGGGGGCGGGTGGCCTTTTATGATGCTGACCAAGGGACACTCCTCTATGCCTTCTCCGGGGTCTCGTGTGCAGGACAGACCCTTTCCCCCTTCTTTGAGGCCAATATCAGTATCAGTTCTTAAGGCAGCCATGACGCCTCCACACAGGCTGTCCAGACGAGGAAGAGTCATCTGAAAGGGGAGCCGATCTCTAGTCAAGGGCAACCTTCCCCTTCCACAAAGGCTCCAGAGAGTTCTAGCCACAACCCGCAGAGCTGAAGGAACCCAGACACTGCCCGATTCCTCTCTCCCTGTCCCAGGCTTCCCTCTCCAGCTCACTTCCGAAATGGACGCTGGCACAGTCATGTAGGCGGCACGGGTAGATTCTCAGAGAGGGCTCTGCATCCATGGACTGAATTCAGGTCTTGTTTCAGTTCTTCTTTTCCCTTCTTTCCACAAAACTTCCCCAGATGCCAAAAAAAAAAAAGGAAAACGAAGCAAAAAACAACAATAGTTTCTGACACAATGCATCCACACACGTGCTGCATCCGCGGATGCTCCTCAGGGAGACTGACATGATGTCCTCTTGTACCAAATGTTTATCCTCCTTTTGCTTGTGTTTCTTTCTTCAGGTACAAATATACAAAGCCTCTCCAGTGTGGCGTAGTGGTTAAGAGCATGGGACTGGGACTCAGACGATCTGGGTTTGAGTCCCCGCTCAGCCATGGAGCCAACTGAGTGACTTTGGGCCAGTCACAGACTCTCAGCCCAACCTACCTCACAGGGTTGTTGTTGTGGGGATAAGATGGAGGAGGAGAATGATGTAAGCTGCCTTGAGCCCTTTGTAGGAAAAAGGCAGGATATAAATCACAATATAAATAAATAAATGTCTCCTTTCTATTTATTATGCCTAAAGGAAAAATCTAAAGGAAACAGTAAGCTGGAACTGATTTGCAGAGTGAGTTGGCCAATATTATGGAGTGGAGGGAAGCAGCACTCTCTGCAACGTTTTACTGCCATTCCCTCGTTCATTGTTTGCATCCTGTCCTTTCTCCAAGGAGGGCAAAGTTGCTTTGGGGAAGCAGGCATCCATGGGCGCAGGAAACTCCCTCATTACCACCACCACCACCTTACTAGTCTGCTGCTGCAAATGCACGTCGTGCAGTTGCTATGCGAAGACTGAAGTACCTGGAACGTTTCTGATCCTGCCAGCAGCAAGGAAGCGCCAGCCCTGGACTCTTTGAGGGCCACCCCCCCTTCCCAGTACGAGGCCCAACGGCTGCCCATGCTATTTGTACTGCCTATGGCAGGAACCCCTTTTCTCTCACCTGCTTCGTGCATAGAAGCCTGCGGTGTTAATACAGGAAGTGTCACGGATTCCAAACTCCCCTTCTTCCCAATGCACGCATTGGCTTCTTCATGTCTTGGTCGGTTCCGTAGACGAACGGAAGGACCTCACATCACATCATCTGGTTTTTGGTGAAAATGGGCTAAAGGATTTATGAAGGATCTAGGGAATGTATAGAATGGGAAGAAGGCGAGTCAGTTTCTGAGCAGAGAACAAGAGCTTTAAAGAGGAAAGGCAGTTTCAGGGCACAAACCAATAAGCTGTTCAGCTGAGCAAATCAGTGGCAGGGAAGACACCAACTGGGAAAATGTCCTACACTTGACTGCTGGCCCGGTTCCCTGAAGACCTGCACTGCCTGCGGGCTCCCATGCAGCAGTTCTTCCTCCATTTGTCGAGGGGAGACTATACCCATGTGCCTGTATCAGAGAAACGCTGGGCCACCACCCCACACCTGGTTCAGGTGCTCTCGTTTGTACGGACTCGCACTGGGTTCCTCTGCCAAGGAGGAGAGGCCCCCAACCTTGCTTCCCAGTGGAGTGCACCTCCTTTGGCCCCCCTCCCTTGGCTGGGCAGAAGTTTTTGGCTTTGCCTGTTGACTGTCACCCCCAGCTCTGAAGAGTCTGGATCTGCAGCCACCTGCTCAGTTTACATTGAATGGATTGGCCAAGTGGCCTTGTCTGGCCTGCAGTGGCACTCAGAATCACGGAACGGTAGAGGTGGAAGGGGCCCAGAAGGCCGTCGGGTCCCACCCCTGCTGGTGCAGGACACCAGTTCACACCACCCCACTCCAATGGTTGCCCAGTTGGGTCTTGAATGCTCCCTGTGTGAGAGATCCCACCCCCTCCTGGGCCACTGGTTCCATTGTCCTGATCAGGAATCCATGTTGCCAGCTTGCTCCCACGGAAGCCATTGTAATGCTGATTTTTGCCTGTCCCAAAGGTTCCTCTTGCTGCGCTGCATGGCCTTAAGCCACCAACCCTATTGCTTTATTCTTAAGTGCCTCTAACAGACTGCCCACCTGACCCCTCCCCAAACTCAGTATGTAACTGATTACCAAGTTATCTTGCACAGACTCAACTTAGGTTGCTCAGGGCAGCGGTCCCGGCCATGTTGGCACCAGGGGCTGGTTTCATGGAAGACCATTTCCAGGGACTGGGGATGTGGGGCAGGGAGATGGTTTCGGGATGACTCAGGTGCATTACTTTTATTGTGCACTTCATTTCTAGTATCATAACATTTAATGACATAATTATACAACTTGCTCTTCCCTCTTTGCCCTCCTGCCCCTTGAGATCTGAGGGAGAGGCCCTTTTTCAGGAGCCCTCCATGGAAGAGATCAGGAGGGTGGCCACCCACTGGAGGGCCTTCTCTGTGGTGGCGCCCTGACTATGGAATTCACTCCCCAGAGAGGCTCGCCCGGTGCCGTCACTTGCTTCTTTTCGGCGCCAAGCGAAACCCTTTTTATTTTCCCAGCATTTTAATTGTTAATTGGTCATACTTCTCGCTTGATATTTATCACTGGATACTGGACCATTTTTATCTTATTTTATTTGTGCCTGTTGTAAACTGTCCTGATATGCCACGGATGGGACGGTATGGAAAAGCTTTAAATTAATAAATCATCCAACCTCCAGCCCAGCTCTCTCCAACCTCCAGCCCAGCACTTACCTGCTTCCCAGTTCCCTTGCCGCTCACAGGCACCCTTCCCGGCTTCTCCACGCCACTCGCTGCCGCCACCGCTCACTCCTCCTTTCGAGGGCCAAGATCCAAACGGTCCTGAATGATCATCTGTATTTCCAGCCGCCCCCCAGCGGTGATGCTGGCGCTGGGGAGCAGCCGCACATGCGGATGAAGCTGTGCTTGCCCGCCTGCCGCTCCCCCCGGCTGTGCAGCCCCGTGCAGGGGTCCTCCGGCTTTTTCAACAGGGGGCCAGTTGAAAGGTGCTCGCGGTGGGTGTGGGCCGGTGAGGGGGTGGGGGCGGGGCGTGTGGGGCGAGGCAGGGGCAGGGGGTGCACACGGGGGGGCGTGGGAGGGTGGGGTGAGGCGCCGGCTTGCTTGCACTGAGATCGTTTTCTCCGAGCGAGTCCAAAGCAGCCTCCCTGCGAGCAAGCCACCGCCTCACAGCATGCCCACGTGTGTGTGCAGCGAGTCCAAAACCTCTGAGGTGGGCCGGATCTGGCCCGCAGGCCATTGTTTGAGGACCCATGGTCCACGGGCTGGCACCGATCCACAGCCTGGGAGTTGTGGACCTCTCTTTAGGGAGCTGCCTACATGCCCCATGGATTTACCATGTGTCTGAAAGAGCATAAATGTTCTTTTGATTATACACCCCCAGGGGACTCCCTCTGAGTTTTCTTATCACCATATTTAAGGGAAAAAATTCCCAGAAATTCCTGACTTGCCCTGCTCCTAACTTTCACTTTCACAAGGTGTGGGATAGAATGGCCATCCCTGGCTTGGCTGGAGCCCATCAACAGAGAACAATTAGCCCCAGGTTGCAAGAAAGTGCTTGTGAAATGCTGAAAACAAATCGGGGCGGAGACAGATATTGACCTTGGACCAGAGAGCAAATATAGGCAGGTTTGCACTTACAAGAAGCAAACACCCACTGAAGGAAAGCGAAGCGAGTGAAATCACTGTGCACAGAAGCCATGGCTGCTGGTGGTGATGGCGGGAGCACCGTCCACGAGCTCTGCGAGGAAACCATGTGCCCCATCTGCCTGGACTATTTCAGGGATCCCCTGACGATTGCAGAGTGTGGGCACAATTTCTGCCAAGCCTGCCTGAGCCAGTACAGCGGGGAATCGGACGTGCAGGCCTCCTGCCCCCAGTGCAGGGGGACCTTCCAGAAGAGGAACCTCCGGCCCAATCGGCAGCTGGCCAGGATTGTGGAAATTGCCAGGAAATTAGGGGAGCAGGAGGTCAAAGTGGTCAAAGGGAAGGGGCAAGTCTGCAAGGAGCACCAGGAGCCCCTGAAGCTTTTCTGCAGGGACCACAAAGCCCCCATCTGCGTGGTGTGTGACAAAGCGAAGGAGCATGAAGGTCACAAGGTGGTTCCCCTGGAGGAGGCGTCCCAGGAGTACCAGGTAGGAGCTCCATGAACTTCTTGAGGAGGAGGAGAAATACCAGAGGGTCTCTTTAGCATGGTCTCTAAAGACATTCCAACAGGAAGGTACTGGAGCCACATGATCCATGATTTATTATATTTCTAGCCAGCCCAGTAAGCCCAGGTCTCTGGGAGGGGCCATGCATGTTCTTTGTTATGTAAGCAGCATCTGGAGGAAGCCTCAGAAGTTCCAGGATTGTGTGTGGGGGCCTCATTTGATTTGTTCTCTCCTAGCTGCACCTGATACCAAACCAGAATACCCTCCGTGTTTTCTATAATCGGCCCCAGGGCTGCAATACAGAGCAGGGCCCTTTAAGACTTCTCTTGTCTGCCCTTTGTGGGTCTTCTAACCTCTCTTGTATGGAGCCAAAGACTTTCAAAGCCCAACTGCATGTAGCCAAGACAGAAAGATTCAACATTAGTATGCAGTATTGCCTTGAAAAGTGCAGAATTACATTCAAACATCGTTCCACGGTCTCATAGCCCGTTTGTGTGTGTGCGCCTGTGCTTGTGTGCAGGTGTGTGTCTGGCCCACCCATGACTTCTGGGTGCAAAACCAAGGAGAGGCCAGCACTGAAGGGGATGTGCTGGGTGCACTTGGAGGTGCGTGTGCTCAAAGGTCCTTGACGCGTGGAATATTTGCAAGGACTTTGGGCCTCCCGGTGCTCCCTCTTCCCCCTCCCCTCTTCTTTTCCTTGAAGCTCCTCAAGGCACTCTGGGTGCTTCTCTGGGTGCTGGGATATTTACTTTATTCAGGCGCAGTCTGTTTCAAAGAGATAAGAATCTATCAGATAAGGCTGTGTATAGATGTGAAAGTACAACAAAATGTAATATTGTGACATGGAACGCAGGGAGACCCTCCACCGTGGGGCCACTCTGCATGCACGATTCCACCTGGAAGGATGGCCTGCCAGGGGCCTCTGCACTTGGCATTCATGAGGACTATGCACATTCGGATCCTTTGCAGGGCTGTGGGGAGGCAAAGGGCATTTCTTTGCAGGGGAGGCAAGGGGGGCTCCGAACTTTCTGGGCTTCCAAGGAGAGCTCCCTGCTTCGCCGCTCTGCTTCTTGAATCCCTCCCCGTGGCCTGAAATGCCTGCACAGAAATGCTGCACTTCCCTGCCCCACCCCCGGCCCCACCATGATAAAAATAGAAGGCAATCAAAAGTATCTCGTTCAACTCCCTTTCCCCTCTCTGAAGCAAAAGTGAACTGCTGTTCCCGCTTCAGGATCTGCTCCATCATCACCTGGAGATTCTGAGTAGAGAGGAAGGAAGAATTCTGGCATGTATAGCAGAGGCAGAGAATGAAACCCAAGAGCTGCTTGTAAGTATCAACAATATTTCTTGGAAGGGAACAAGTGCTTCGCCCAGTATGAGTAAATGTTGAGTTATCTGATATGGTTGAGTTCCTTAATCAATGTGCAATAATTTCATCGCAAGAGAGCTGAGTTCTAGACCATGTGTCCCTGTAGGGTTATCCATCTTTTATGGGAAAAGCACCCATCCAGTTTTTCTATTTTAAAGGTGGACAATTTATTCCAACTGCTATCACTGTATATAACAACAAAGTAGGATTGCAGTTCCTGTATGCAGTACTTTTATGGGTTGAAGCCTGTGGAGAATCTATTGTTTCCCTTTTGAATTATTTTCTTTGAAAAATTACTGGTGCTCCCAGTTGTGCTGGTGGAGATTCACTGAGGGCAGAACTAGGTCTCAGATCTTTTGAAGCTTGGATTTAGGCCACAACTTTTAGATTCTCGGTCAAGATTTATTCTCCACAGGCGAATAAATCAAATGGAAATTTACACCTACTGCAAGCACACTCCTACCAAAAGTCATGGAGCAAATTGGTTGAAAGTCAGAGGTGGGCTTTAGGAATTTCTCCTCCTGATAGGAAAGAACAAAGGCCTACAGCAGCTCTCTTTGCACTCCTAAGCTGTTTGGAAAAATTGGATACTAGAAGTACCATGATAAGAGCATGTTGTTGTTAGTCGTGAAGTCGTGTCCGACCCATCGCGACCCCATGGACAACATTCCTCCAGGCCTTCCTGTCCTCCACCATCCCCCGGAGTCCACTCAAGCTCACACCAACTGCCTCAGTGACTCCATCCAGCCACCTCATCCTCTGCCATCATCTTCTTCTTTTGCCATCTATTGTTCCCAGCATTAGGCTCTTCTCCAGGGAGTCCTTCCTTCTCATTAGGTGGCCAAAGTATTTGAGTTTCATCTTCAGCATCTGGCCTTCTAAAGAGCAGTCAGTCAACGTAATTCTGCAAGAGCTAGGACTGACCAGCCTTGCTGTCCAGGGGACGCGCAGAAGCCTCCTCCAGCACCACAATTCAAAGGCCTCAATCCTTCGGCGCTCAGCCTTCCTTATGGTCCAGCTTTCACAGCCATACCTTGCAACTGGGAAAACCATAGCCTTGACTATACACACTTTTGTTGGCAGAGTGATGTCTCTGCTTTTTAGTATGCTGTCTAGATTTGCCATAGGTTTCCTCCCCAGGAGCATGCGTCTTTTAATTTCTTGGCTGCAGTCACTGTCTGCGGTGATCTTGGAGCCCAGGAAAATAAATTCTGCCCCTTCCTCCATTTCTTCCCATCTATTTGCCAGGAAGTGTTGAGGACCAGATGGCATGTTCTTAGTTTTCTTAATGTTGAGTTTCAAGTCAACTTTTGCACTCTCCTCCTTCCCCCGCATCAATAGGCTCCTTAGTTCCTCTTCACTTTCTGCCATGAGAGTGGTATCATCTGCATATCTGAGGTTGTTATTTCTCCCAGCAATCTTAATTCCAATTTGTGATTCATCTAGCCCCGCCTTTCTCATGATGTGCTCTGCATATAAGTTAAACAGGCAGGGCAACAGTATACAGCCTTGCTGAACTCCTTTCCCAGTTTTGAACCAATCTGTGGTTCCGTGTCCAGTTCTCACTGTTGCTTCTTGGCCCGCATATAGGTTTCTCAAGAGACAAATAAGATGGTCTGGTACTCCCATCTCTTTAAGAACTTGCCACAATTTGTTGTGATCCACACAATCAAAGGCTTCAGCATAGTCAATGAAGCAGAAGTAGATGTTTTTCTGGAAGTCCCTAGCTTTTTCCATGATCCAGCATATGTTCGCATTTTGATCTCTAGTTCCTCTGCCTCTTCGAAATCCTGCCTGTACTTCTGGTAGTTCTCAGTCCACATACTGCTGGAGCCTAGCTTGTAGGATTTTGAGCACAACTTTGCTAGCATGTGAAATGAGTGCAATGGTGCGGTAGTTTGAACATTCTTTGGCATTGCCCTTCTTTGGGATTGGAATGTAAACTGATCTTTTCCAATCCTGTGGCC